CAACACCACTCTCTCCTTCACTTCACACATCAACGATGTCACTTGGTCTGCCTATTTCCATCTCCGAAATATGAACCGTCTCCGCCCTTCTCTCACACCCCGCTCCACAGCCATTCTTGTTCACAGTCTTGTGACTTCTCGGATTGACTACTGCAACTCCCTTCTTTATGGCCTCCCCAACAAATCTCTCCAGAAGCTACAATTGGTCCAGAACTCAGCTGCCCGTGTCATCACTCAAACCTCCTCCTATAACCACATCACTCCTGTTCTGCAGCAGCTCCACTGGCTCCCGGTTAAATCACGCATCGTCTTCAAAATTCTTCTTCTCACTTCAAAGCTCTCCACAACCTTGCCCCTCCGTACCTATCTGACCTCCTACACATCTCCATCCCCTCTCACTCTCTCAGATCCTCCTCTTCACTACACCTCCATGTACCCTCTGCCCGCCTCTCCACCATGGGGAGCAGGGCCTTCACCTGCTCTGCCCCTCGTCTCTGGAACTCTCTACCCCCTGACTTAAGAAACACCACCTCTCTTTCTCTATTCAAGACTGCTCTGAAAACACATCTCTTTAGACTCGCTTATCCTTAACTTTGCTGTATGTATTTTATATTTTTATGTATTTTATATTCTGTATGTATTTTATATTCTTTATGTATTTTATATTCTTTATTCCTGTTGATCTTTGTTCTTACTGTAAAGTGTCCTTGGGTGTCATGAAAGGCGCTTTTTAAATAAAATGATTATTATTATAATTATTATTAAATGCTGTCTTCCACTCATCACCTTCCTTGATCCGGACGAGGTGATAAGCGTTACGGAGATCCAATTTGGAAAATATTTTAGCAGAGTGCAATTGTTCATGGATAGAGTCTGTTAGTGGTGAGGGATATTTATTCTTAATAGTGATCTGATTTAATCCTCTATAGTCTATGCAAGGACATAAGGTTTTGTCTTTTTTAGCCACAAAGAAAAATCCTGCTCCAACAGGACAGGTAGAGGGATGAATTATTCCTGAGTTCAATGATTCAGAGATATACTTTTTCATAGAGTCATGTTCTGGACCAGACATATTGTAAAGGCGGCTAGAAGGAAGAGGAGCCCTTGGTAGTAAATCAATTGTACAATCATATGGACGGTGCAATGGCAATGATAGGGCCTTTTGTTTACTAAATGCAGGGGCAAGGTCATGGTAAACAGTAGGAATTTTAGACAAATCGACCGGATCGGGTGCCTCAGGACGTTTAATAGTAGAAGGAACAGCAGTTATTAAACAGTTCATTAAACAGTGTGGGCTCCATTGTTCTATTCTTTTAACCCTCCAATTAATTATGGGGTTGTGATCTCTGAGCCAAGGAAAACCCAGGACAAGCTGTGTAACGGGTGATTCGAATACAAAAAACTCACTGTGTTCATGATGGTTCCCAGAGATGATGAGGTGTACTGGTAGAGTCTTCTTAAGAACCGAGGCGAACTTCTGACCCGTTAGTCCGGCCATCGTCAGTGGAGTGGGAAGAGGTTGTGTAGGGATGGATAGGAATTCAACCAAGTCCTGACTAATGAGGTTTTGTTCAGCCCCAGAGTCCACTAGCGCAACAACTGACTTACTTTCTCGATCAACAATAATGGTAGTGTTAAGTTCCAAGCGAGAAACAGGAGAAGAAGAAGAGTTTCTCACCAATATCTCCTGTCTTATTGGTGTGAGGAGCCGTTTCCCAAGAGTGGGCAGCGAGCAATAAAGTGTCCTTGTTCCTCACAATAGATACAAGCTTTATTGTTAATTCTTCGTTGTCTTTCTTCTGGAGAGAGGCGAGTGCAACCCAACTGCATAGGTTCTGAGTCGGGTTTGTACTCGAGCATTAGTGCAGGTGGTTGTCTCAGTGTGGAGTGAAACCCGGAAGCAGTGGAACTCTGGGAAATGTAGTCTCTTCTATTGAAAACAGATCGATGTTTTGACGTAGAGGGAAACCGGAAGTAGGTGAATTCTGGGAATCGTAGTTTCTTTCCCACCTTCGTTGTTGTAGCTGGTTATCGATACGTGTAGCTAACTGAATTAGTTTGTCCAAACTTTGGGGTTCTTCTAGTGCCGCTAAATGGTCTCTTATGGAATTGGAGAGAGAGTGTAAGAAAGTACCTCTGAGTGCGACCTCTCCCCACCCGGTTCGGGCGGCAGTGATTCTAAACTCCAGAGCATGAGCTGTAACAGAGCGTCTGCCTTGTCGAAGGGTGAGTAGACGTTTTACTGCTTCTGCTCATTGGAGGGGTTGATCGAACATGCACATGAATTCTTCTAAAAGGGAGGAAAAGGTTAAGGTACTGACAGGGTGAGAGGATAAATGAGCACGAGCCCAACGAAATGCGTCCCCTTTAGCTAAGTGATGAAAAAGGAGATTTTAGCAGCATCTGAAGAATAAAGACTGGGTGCTCTCTGAAACATTAGTTCACACTGAAGTACAAAAGCCCACACATTTCAGGCTCTCCACAAAAAAGTTCTGCCGGTTTTAAATTTTGCTCTGTGGCGGTCATTTGGGGACGATTAGGAATAGGAAGACTGACCTCAGGTGTAGGTGTTGCAGCAGGTGGCAGGAGCTGAGTCATCCCTTGTTTGACTGAAAACAACATGCTGCCCAGTTCCTGGAGATTAGACTGGTTAGTCTGTTGCAGGTTTAACAAGCGTTCAAGAGTAGCTTCATTTTTCTCAACTCTGTGTAACATAGCCTGAAGAGTGAGTTGGCTCTGTTCAGATCCAGAGTCTTTCAGGGGTACTTGGTTTGGCTGGGACAACCTGAGCACCCCAAATGGACCTGCGCCAGGTTTTAATGGCTATGTTTACATGGACATAAGTAACTGGGTTAAATGGTTGTTCGGAATAGCAGCACGGTGGCACAACTGGTAGAGCTGCTGCCTCTCAGCGAGCAGGTCCCTGATTCAAATCCCTGTCCGCGGGCCTTTCTGGGTGGAGTTTGCATGTTCTCTCCGTGCATGCGTGGGTTTTCTCTGGGTACTCCGGTTTCCTCCCACAGACCAAAAACATGCATGTTAGTCTGATTGGTAACTCTAAATTGTCTCTAGATGTGAGTGCGAGAGTGAATGGTTGTTTGTCTCGTTTGTCTCTATGTGGCCCTGTGATGGACTGGAGACCTGTCCAGGGTGTACCTTGCCCCTCGCACAATGATTGCTGGACATGGGCACCGGCGACCCCCGTGACCCAAAATGGAAAAAACGGGTAAAAATAATGGATGGATGGATGGTATAAGATAATGGATGGATGGATAGATGGATGGTTGTTTGGAATAAAAATGCATCATGTAAACGCCCTTTTCGGGTTATAGTTTGTTTATTCAGCTCGATCTGAATGAATTTCTGATCAGAACGAAACGGGTGGTTTATGCCGATTCATAACCCGAACGGTGTCTGTGTAAACACTTGATCTGTGCATTTTTTTCTGATGGTGAAAAACTGACCTGACTGCGCATGTGCGACCTATGTCATTTCCGCCTGGCTAATGTTAATAACGTTAGCATGTTGAGGAAATAAAACTGGTCGGTGAGGGACACATTTCTACTAGAAATTTTGAAAGAGCTCAAAATGATCTGTATCACCTGTAGCTCAGTCAGGGAGTGCAGCAACATCTCCACCGTCATTAAAACCTGTTGCAGATCCATTCTGGGTGCTCAGGTTTGTTTACGTTCATCACGGAAGTAAGTAGTGTTTTTATTAAGGAGAGTTTACCACTCTGCACATGTCAGTACTTCTGTTCAGAACAAAGCCCGCTGCTTGTAAACGCTTGTCATGAACAGATTGTGCCCATGTAAACAGTACATTTGAATTATTTGATCTGAAAACATTTCCATCCAATCAAATAATTTTGCGCATGTAAACATAGCTAATGACAGTAGAGACGTTACTGCACTCCCTGACTGAGCTACGGGTAATACAGATAATTTTGAGTTCTTTCAAAGTTTCTAGTAAAAATGCTATGTCGCTCACCGACCAGTTTTGTTTCCCCGACATGCTAATATTATTAGCATTAGCCAGGTGACAATATGTGAGGTAGACATATGTGCACATGCACATGCGCAGTCAGGTCGGTTTTCCACAATTGGGATAAAATTATCATAGTAAGTGTTTACATGCACACCATTTGGAATATGAATTGACATAAACCACCCGTCTCATTCGGATTACAAATTCATTCGGATCGAGCTGAATCAACAAAGAATAATCGGAATGGGGTGTTTACATGACACATTTTTATTCCGAATGGCCGTTCAATCCGATTATTTATGTCCATGTAAACATGGCTACTGACAAAGCTGGCTGTGTGATATTCTAATTTTCTAAGACACAGAATATTGTTTTTTCATGATTTGTAAGCCATAATCATCAAAATGACAAGAAATAAAGTTTGAAATGTTTCACTCTGTGTAATGAATCTGTAAAATTAACTTTCTGAAATGATTGATAAAAAATTGCACTTCTCACAATATTTTAATTCTTTAGACCCACCTGTAGACCTGTCTGCGTCAGACACTTACCTCCTCTGGAATCTGGTGAATTTCTCGTCATAGTTGACTTGTTCAGAGATAAGGGTACATGAAAATGAATGTGGCATGCGCTTTGACTCCAGCTCTGCTGTTTGCTTTGTTGCAGCTGCTTGCTTGAACACATTTGATGCTTCCTACTCACTCTGGTTCTTTTCTTTTTTTAACACGGTTTTGTTTTATATGTTTAACAGTATTTCCTCTCCCGCCCCCTTCAGAACAAAAGTACTCATACACTAGGTTTGGCATTCCTTTAATAGTGTTTTATGTTCTTTTTGAGTTTTCTGTTGTGTGTTTATGTTTTAATATTTGTAGGAGTCTTATTTATTTCATTTCTGTTCCCTCCTCCTTTTCCTCCTTTGTCTTTTTATTTTTCATTTGGATTCTCACCCCCTTTCTTCTTCTTCCATGTTTTTTTGTCCTTCTCTCCGTAATGGCTCCCTCTCATACTTGTAGCTTATGTCCTTGTTAACATCCCCCCATCAGCCCCCACCTGCCCCCCCAGCCTCGTCCTTGCCCTCACCCTCTGCTGTTCCCAATGACTCCCATTCTCCCAAGCAGCACAAGGAGCCCCTCTCCCACCGCCTCAACGACTTCATGACCTCCAAACCCAAAATGCACTGTCTCCGGAGCCTGAGGCGAGGGGTAAGTGTGTGTGTGTGTGTGTGTGTGTGTGTGTGTGTGTGTGTGTGTGTG